CAGAGGGAGGGGGAGAGAGGGACAGAGAGAGAGAGAGAGAGAGAGAGAGAGACATGGAAGTGAGAGAGAGACAATGATTGGTTGCTTCCTGCATGTGGGGGGGGGGGCAGAGATTGAACCTGCAACCCAGGTATGTGCCCTTGACTGGGAATAGAACCAGCGTCCCTTCCTGCGCAGGCCAAGGCTCTAACCACTGAACAACACTAACCAGGTCTCAAATCTTCATTCCAAATTCAAACTTTTCTTACAGCTGCAATCTTTTCACATGTGGGGAAACAGTCACAGTGTTTCCTTGCATTTGTTAATTCAGATGATTATACCCTGAAAAATCTATCTGCAAAACAAGCCAACACTCCAGTTCACTGAATCCAGGTTTTCGCAATTTAATACAGAATATCCCCATAACCACCATGTGGTAAAAGACTCTATATTTCGTCTGGTGTGTCTTCTTGAGAGCCAGTGTTGCCCATATGTGTACAGAGAGGTATGGAGTTCTCTCCATGGAACAGGATAGAGGATAGCCCCCACATTCCCACTCGTTTTCTCCTGGTCAAGCCCCTCTGCAACTTTATTTCAGACAGAGGAAGGGAGAGGGAGAGATAGAAACATGTGATGAGAGTCATTGATTGGCTGCCTCCTGCACGCCCCCCACTGGGGATTGAGCCCACAACCCGGGCATGTGCCCTGACCGAGAATCGAACCTGGATCTCCTGGATCATAGGTCGGTGCTCGACTGCTGAGCCACACTCGGCTGGGCCCCTCAGCAACTTTAAACAGTCTTCACCCCGTTCCAAGCCCTGGCTCATCTGTCTCCCAGGACAAGCTCCACATTTTTGTTAATCCTCACCTGAGGATATTTTCCCCATTATTTTCATAGAGAGTGGAAGGAAGGGAGGGGTAGAGAAAAGCAATGATGTGAGACACATCGATTGACCGCCTCCTACACCCACCCCAGTCGGGATTAGACCTGCAACCCAGGTACAGGAATCGAACCCGAGACCCTTCGGTGCGAGGGCCGATGCTCTAACCACTGAGAACACCAGCCAGGGCTAGGCCAAGCTCCACTTTTGCTAACACCATCCAAGCACACAGGGAACAACAAGGCAGTCTCCCCCCTCACTTAGGACCCTCAGCTTCTGGGGACACATTCCAAGACTCCACCAGCACATGGGTAATATCAGAGTTTCTGAGCTTAGGGAGGGGGACTGCGTTATCAGAGCACAGTTGGCTTCACTTGACCATGGAACTCAGGTCTGTGATTTGACTTGTCCCTGTTAAACTCCATCAGGTGAGAGTCAGCAGGTCTGTTTGGATTTGTCCCCCAGGCCATACATGGGCCAGGGACTCCCAGCCATGCAAGGGGGGCTGGGACCAGACTGCCACCCTGTCCTTCAGGAGCTCCAGATCCAGGCAATCAGGTGAGTGAATGACAGTAATGGATAGGCATGGGCCCCCTCCACTCTCCTTCTGGCTGGGGGAGGAGCTGCCCTCTGCGTAACCCACCCCCCAGTCATGTCTGTCTATCTATGTGTCTGCCTGTCCCTCCACCTGTTTATTTTTAGACACAGGCCCCTTCCAACCTCCCTGAAGCTCCTCTGTGCTAGGAGCCTGGAAGGAGAGGAAGGAAGTAAATATTTATGCTGATTAAGAATTCAGGAGCCAGGAAGGGCTGGTGGCCTGGTCCTTGGCTGGCCTAGGGCCACAGGCCTCCCCACAGCCTCCACCTCCCACCCCCAGTCCCCAACCCAACCTTCCAGAGAAGGGGACCATGAGGGCAGAATAGTTTGGAACTGAGAATTCAAAGTGACACTCTCATTGGCGTTGGTGCCCAAGCAACACCCTTTGGCACCTGCCTACTGCCCTCCCCCAAGACCAGAGGGGAACCAGGAAAGAGCCCTAAGCCCTGGGTCACATTGTTCTGAAGACCTGAAGGACCTGGTTCTGCCTCAACCCAGAACCAGGGAGGGCCCCCAGAGGAACCTGTCTCCCAGGGCGGGGCCCAAGGTGGGAGGGGGTACTCCAGCACCCCACCCCCAGAGACCTCTGTCCCCAATTCCTGCCCTTGGGTTCTGCCCAGGGATTCATTCTGATGGGAGCCAGAGCCCAGCGTAGAGGCCCAGCCTCTCCACTCCTCGGAAAGGAGGAAGGAGCCACCCCCAAGGCCCACAGCTCCCAGCACCCCCATCCCCAGGCTGGCCTAACCCAGATTTCCCTCCCAATGGTGGCCCCCACTCTCAAGGGGAAGACGCCTGTGACCCCACTCCTTGGCCAACTTCAGTGTCCTCTTTCATCCCCACCCCCCATCCCCCAGCCAGCGGCCAGTTCTGGGCTCCAGCTCTGCTCTTTGTTCCTGAGCTGGGTAAGGGGGGCGGGTGTGAGCCAGAGTTATGCCCTCCGATGGCTGAGGGGACAACCGGGCTTGCAACCTTGGGACTGGCTGGGTGATAACCCGCGGAGGCCAGCCAGCCATCACCCAATTTAACGCTCATGAAAACCAGGCGGTGGAGAGGACCAAGGCGCCCAGAAGGGCAGCTGTCTCACTCTGAGGGTGCCAGCAAGTTTCTTAACCAGTGGTGGGCCCGCAATAGTCAGGGCCACAAGTCTCCTACACCCCTGTGCGGAAACTCAGCAGGCATCCCCTGGGTGCAGCATGGAGTCCCCTCCCCAGGGACCTGGCTGGGGAATCTGGCTCAGAGGTGATGCGACTCCGCCCTGCTGGTGCGGGGTTGTGGAGCTGTGTGGGCGGGATCCGAGGGGAGGTGGTCTTGCTGCGGCCTGCGCACAGCAACTCCAGCTGCGAAAGGAACTAATTAGAGTGGAGGGAGCTGAGGGAGCGCAAGGCTGGGGGGGGACC